TGTGAGTGAGTGAGTGTGTGTGTGTGTTTGTGTGTGTGAGAGTATGTATGTGTGTGTGTGTGTGTGTGTGTGAGTGAGTGAGTGAGAGTATGTGTGAGTGTGTGTGTGTGTGTGTGTGTGTGTGTGTGTGTGTGCTCACTTTGGCTCTGCCTGTAATACTGTAAGACAGCACCAACCTACACCAGTGGCTGTGCTCCATACTAACACAGCCGTGAGCGTCTGAGGCGCTGGACTGTATCAGATGGCTCCCGTATTATCGATCGGCTCAGTGCCCTTGGTGAACGGCTCCGGCGGCTGGCCGCGCTCATGACCGCAGGCTGTTTGAAACTGACTTAATACGCCAATAAATCTTCCTTCTAATCAAAGTGGTTTTATCGGTGCACAGGAGAAGCTGATAAGGTGCGCTCCGGACATGCGCTCTAACAACAGGCCATAACGGATGGAATACAGATTCAGTCTCGTGCGGGTCACGCAGGTCAAGCACTTGTTTGCTTTACAGATTGGACGTACTAATGAGGATGAAAGCTCATTTACAGGATAATGCTGTTGTTATCCGTAACACAAGGCCAAAGAGTCCGGGGGTTGACAATGCACTCGTTCTGACATTTGTGTGCAGTCAACTTGGCCTTGTTCTGCATTTCCTGCCGTCTGTAATCCACAAAGTGACGTGTGTAAGCAGATTAACGAGTTTGTACCTGTTCAAGGCCTGTAAACACTTCTGACGGCATAAAAGCTGCGTAAAGGAGATTCCATTCGCTCGCTGTCACTACTGAGGCACGCTTTTACTTGCGTTGAATCATTTTCTGGAAGCCAGTCGCTCCTCTGAAGTGTTGCTGATGATGTTAGCCTGTCCTGTAGCGCGACTGAAACAGATGGCAGGTCAAATAAAAGCTTCTGGAGAAGATCGAGCTGAAGAAACGATCAGCTGTGACAGAAAACATCTGTCTCTTAACATGGTAACTGTCCAATAAACATGGTATTAACATGGGAAATGTTCAAAACACTTGGTATTACTGTGGTAAATTTTCAAAAAACATGATATTGCCATGGTAAATGTTCAGAAATACACGATAAATCAATGGTACAAGTACAAAAACATGGTATTAACATGGAAAATGTTCAAAAACATGGTATTACTATGGTAATTGTTCAAAATTATGATATTGCCATGGGACATGTTTACAAATATGGTAATTCTATGGTTCAAAAAAACCCATTAAAATACCATGTTTTTTTTTTCAAGTTTATTTGTACAGCACTTTTCACGATAAAAACATGATATTGCCATGGTAAATGTTCAGAAATACACGATAAATCAATGGTACAAGTACAAAAACATGGTATTAACATGGAAAATGTTCAAAAACATGGTATTACTATGGTAATTGTTCAAAATTATGATATTGCCATGGGACATGTTGACAAATATGGTAATTCTATGGTTCAAAAAAAAACATTAAAATACCATGTTTTTTTTTTTCAAGTTTATTTGTACAGCACTTTTCACGATACAAATCGTTGCAAAGCAGCTTTACAGCAAATTAAGTTTCTACAATATTTAGTGGTAGCTTATCAGTGGTGACTGTCAGTTAATGTACATATGGCAGAAATGTACGGAAAAATCAATTAAAGACGTAATCAAACAGACGATGAACACTATTAACAGCAATTCAATGTTTTTTTAACATGTCCCATGGTAATACTATGTTTTTTTAACTTTTACCATGGTAATACCATGATTGTTGAATATTTCCCATGTTTATACAATGTTTTTGAACATGTACCATTAAACTATCATGTTTTTTGGACATATCGCATGGTATTACCATGTTTATCTTATATTTGCCCATTGTAATACCATGTTTTGTTTGTTTGTTTTTTGGTATTTCAAAGATACATGTCCAAAAAACATGGTATTACCATTGTAATTGTTCAAAAAACTTGATATTACCACGGGAAATGTCCAAAAACATGGTAATACCATGATACATGTGTAAAAACATGTTTTTTCAATGGTGCATGCCCAAAACATGGCATGGTAAATGTTAGGGGAAAAAAACATATTACTATGGGACATGTCCACAAACATGGTAATACCGTGATACATGTTCAAACAATGTGGTATTTTAGGATGTTTGTTTGTTTTTTGGTATTTCAAAGATACATGTCCAAAAAACATGGTATTACCATTGTAATTGTTCAAAAAACTTGATATTACCACGGGAAATGTCCAAAAACATGGTAATACCATGATACATGTGTAAAAACATGTTTTTTCAATGGTGCATGCCCAAAACATGGCATGGTAAATGTTAGGGGAAAAAAAACATATTACTATGGGACATGTCCACAAACATGGTAATACCGTGGTACATGTTCAAACAATGTGGTATTTTAGGATACATCTCCAAAAAACAGTAATTCAATGGTACATGTCTAAAATGTGGTATTAACATGTGTAATGTTCAAAAACAAGGTATTACCATGGTAAAAGTAAAAAAAAACATAGTATTACCATGGAACATGTCTAAAAACATGGTAATACCATGGTACATGTTAAAAAAAATGGTATTTTAATGGTCCATGTCCAAAAAACATGGTAAAAAAGGAATTTTGGTATTACAATGGGCTAATATAAGATAAAGATGGTAATACCATGTGATATATCCAAAAAACATGATAATTTAATGGTGCATGTCCAAAAACATTGTATAAACATGAGAAATATTCAACAATCATGGTATTACCATGGTAAAAGTTCATGGGACATGTCTAACATGGTAAAAAAATGTAAAACAAAAAAAAAACATGGTAAGACAAACATGGTAATACCATGTGATATGTCCAAAAAACATGGTAATTTAACTGATAATTTAATGGTGCATGTCCAAAAACATTGTATAAACATGAGAAATATTCAACAATCATGGTATTACCATGGTAAAAGTTCATGGGACATGTCTAAAAACATGGTAATACCATGGTACATGTTAAAAAACAAGGTAAAAAAATGTAAAAGAAAAAAAAAACATGGTAAGACAAACATGGTAATACCATGTGATATGTCCAAAAAACACGGTAATTTAATGGTGCATGTCCAAAAAACAAGGTAAAAAAATAAATAAAAAAAAAACATGGTAAGACAAACGGTAATACCATGTGATATGTTCAAAAAACATGGTACTTTAATGGTGCATGTCCAAAAACCCATTTTTTTTCGTGGGAAATGTTGAGAGATGTTAAGAAAAGCATGGTGTTCCAGCGGTACACGTCTCTGGCTCGCTGACAAAGCGTCTCTGTGTCTCTACAGGCCTCACACGGTGACGGAGTACATGGGCATCAGGAACGAGAGCTTCATGAAGATGGCTGCTGTAGGAACATGGATGGGGGATTTTGTGACAGCATGGATGGTGAGACTCAAACCAGAACCGCTTTTTCCTTAACTAGCTGATGTCGTGCTTCAGAATCGGATTGTAGAGCGAAAAGTGGCCGTTCTGAATGAGAATGGATGAAAAGCTTGATGGAGAAAGTTTTACATTTTGATGCATGATTTACAGAGACAGACATTCAGAGCAGCGTTTCCTTTCCAGCGAGTTTGTGAAAGATAATTCATTAGTTCATAAAAATGTCAAATGAAAATATATATTTTTTTAAATAGAAACGGTCAAAATATAAGACTTATTTAAAAAAATAATTTGTTTACCTGCTATTTAATATGTTATACCTTTTCTACAGCACCACACATGTGGCATGTTATTAACCATAAACTGAAATCAGAGAACCGAGGACATGCACATGTGTTGTTCAAATATTGAAATATTGACTTAAAATCTCAGAAGGACTTCAAGTAAGTATTGTAGAAAAACTGACAATAAGGGAATGGCTGATCTAGAATCATATTCACTGATGAATTAAAAATTAAAAAATAAATGTGGTGGATTTTGATTTCATGTTGACTTTGGCAACTTTAAAGCAGTGTGAAATTGTTTTATGAGAAATATATATTCTTTCTTGTAATTTACAAAGACAGACATTTAGAGCAGGGTTTCCTCAGTTTGTGAAAACTAATAATTAATTAAATCATAATGTAAATTTGAAATAAATATAAAAAATAAAAAAATAAAAAATAAAACACCTGCTACAAAGAATTAAATATTTGCATTACAGTTACCTTCTTTTATTGCAGTAAAATAAAACAAAATGTCTAAAATATAACAAGTTGTGGTATTTTATTTGTTTATCTGTGTTGATATATTTATAATTATTTTATACATGTAAAAAAATGCGTGTGTGTGT